ACAGATAATATCTTAATAAAGTCTTTGTTCTTAGAACAACAGCTAATGAGTATTTGATCGTAGGAAACCTTGACAGTTGTTCGAGCTTAAAAACAAACATCGATTCTATTGCAATAGCTGCTTACGAGATAACTATTGCGATGCTATATCGATCGTTTTCCGCAGGTATTACGTCATACGTCTCCTTTTTCGAATCTCTCGATCAATTATTCGTGGATAAACATGTTTTTTATGAAACTAAACAATTGTACGTAGAGGACATTTTTCAGACGGACTCTTATCTTTAATTGTAGGAGGTTTTTCGAGTATTTCGTCTGCTAGACGTTTACTTACTACTCGATAGCGCTTGATTATTATCGGAGAACTCCGATTGAATCTTAATTGAAAATCAAACTCGATCAATATCTTTGAAATCGCGAAATGGCCTTATCTTTCACAGAAACGTAAATTGTTATCGAATCTTTGATAAAGTATCGAACTTCGATACGTCAAACGGTCTCGAGAAGATAAATTATTTATACGTTCATTTTCAAACATTCTTTCCAATCGTTCTCGAATTATTCTCCCATTTATTGCGTTCATGGAAAGGAATGAAACTAAAATAAAATCCTTGTTCCAAGCAATTTATTGAAACGTAAATGTTGGGAATTCCAAAAGAATTTCGCAAATAGATTAATTATCTGCGGTTCAAGAGTCTCGTATTTGTCGGTCACTATCACTCGCCGAAAGAATCTTATCGCCCGATAAGACAAAGACGGCGAACATTTAAAAAACCTAGGAGCAACGAGGACTCCCGAAAGAAATATTCGTATATCACCATGGGAATTCGCAGCTGCGTAAAACTTCGCGTAAATTTATCTGACTTTCGAGTACTCTAAAATCAACATTCAATTTAATTACCTTCGAAATGTCTGATAACATCTGTCTTACGTAGGATATTATCGGAAAGTGCATATTAACAGCTGAGATATTGCTTTTAATTAACAATTTGCACGAAATGCTTTTATGCAGATGAGTACGTCTTAAAGTGACGTAGTGTTTGTTCAGATTTCGAGAAACCTTGGAGCCGGATTCTTTTCGTGGGTATAAAAAGAGATGTAGAAGAGTAATTGAAACTTTCCTGGTAGACAGAAAGTTCCTGGGGGAAACCTGAAACGGACACGAAAACAGATTCCTCCGACGTGTACATCGTTGGTGATAAACTTTCTACCGGGTTTTCTACCTTTTTCGCGTTTTCTATTCGTGTTTGGTTGAATTTCACTGTCGATGAATGTCAGTGACGCGGAAAGCGGCGACCATTTTGGAGTAATTGAGTAGGGGACAAGATGGAGCGAACAAAACAAAAATAGGAGGATGTTGGGAGACGAAAATTTCGATAAAAGTGTTGACGGAGTGAATATTTTTGTGGACTGAATTTTGGGAGTGTAGCTTTGCAATTTTGGGATTGGGAAGTTTAGAATTTTAGGTTAGGAAGTTTTTAGGTGAGGCTTAGGTGTTGGGAGATTTGGGAATTTGGGAATTTGGGGATTTGAGGATTTTGGAGTTGGGACACTTGGGAATTTGGGGATTTTAGAATTGGATCATGCGCTGGATATCTACGCGTTGGATTTCTACACGCTGGATATCTACGCGTTGGATTTCCACGCGCTGGATAACTATGCGTTGGATTCCCACGCGTTAGATTTCCACGCGATAGATATTGGGATTTCTGAATTTGGAGATTTGAGAATTTGGGGATTTTGGAATTGGAAGATTTGGGAATTTGGGGATTTTTGAGTTGGATCACGCGCTGGATATCTACGCGTTGGATTTCCACGCGCTGGATATCTACGCGATGGATTTCTACGCGCTGGATATCTACGCGATGGATATTGGGATTTCTGAATTTGAAGATTTGAGAATTTGGGAATTTTGGAATTGGAAGCTTTGGAAATTTGGGGATTTTGGAGTTGGGAAATTTGGGAATTTGGGAGTTTAAGAATTTGAAGATTTTGGTGTTGTGAGATTTAAGAATTTGGAAATTTTGGAATTTGAGGATTTAGAAATTTGGAAATTTAGGAATTTGGGAATTATGGAGTTGGAAAATTAGGGAATTTGGAGATTTCCAAAAGATTAGAAAAATTTACAAATTGGGGATTTGGACTTGTAAGTTTAGAATTTGAAAAATTAAAAAATTTGAAAATTATTAAATGTAAAAGATTTAGACTTCCAAATTCAGCCTTTCAGATTTACACTCCACAAGTTTGAAAATTTGGAATTTCAACATTTTTGAATATAAAAATTGTTGAACTCAGATACAATCCCTTATAATCTTCTAATTCATACATAATTATGTACTTAAAAAATGAACCTGCAGTGCATAATACAAGAAGAATATTCTATGTCTACGACACAAGTTTCCTACATCATCTGAAAGTTTAACATAGAGGACAAAAAAATGAGAAACTACATATACGATAAATTATGTGTAACACGTCACAGATCGCAAGAAGAACAAACTTCTGGTGACGTGACGAGCCAGGAACGTCGATCCTGGATCTTCTCGTCCCACGTAATCTACTTCCTTCGAATAATCCACACACATTATCAGCAATGAACGTGTCAAGAGGAACGTACGATTCAACAGTCATTACCGGCCCTAAAATTTCACAACTCGATACATTTCTGGGGATTTATTATTCATACTAGCTCTTTCCTAAAACACTCGCGGCTCTGAGAATATCGATAACATTCCTGTGTGTGGAATTTATGATTAATTTTCACGTTGCACGAACTGGAAAGGTGAGATTATTTTTTTATTTGAAATTATGTGGAAATTATTGAAATTTGGAAACTTGGAAATTTGGGAGTTGGGAGATTTAGGAATGGGGAGTTAAGAATTGAGAAATTTAGGAATTTGGAAATTTGGGAATTGGGAGATTTGGGAATTGGGAGATTTGGGAATTGGGAGATTTGGGAATTGGGAGATTTGGGAATTGGGAGATTTGGGAATTGGGAGATTTGGGAATTGGGAGATTTGGGAATTGGGAGATTTGGGAATTGGGAGATTTGGGAATTGGGAGATTTGGGAATTGGGAGATTTGGGAATTGGGAGATTTGGGAATTGGGAGATTTGGGAATTGGGAGATTTGGGAATTGGGAGATTTGGGAATTGGGAGATTTGGGAATTGGGAGATTTGGGAATTGGGAGATTTGGGAATTGGGAGATTTGGGAATTGGGAGATTTGGGAATTGGGAGATTTGGGAATTGGGAGATTTGGGAATTGGGAGATTTGGGAATTGGGAGATTTGGGAATTGGGAGATTTGGGAATTGGGAGATTTGGGAATTGGGAGATTTGGGAATTGGGAGATTTGGGAATTGGGAGATTTGGGAATTGGGAGATTTGGGAATTGGGAGATTTGGGAATTGGGAGATTTGGGAATTGGGAGATTTGGGAATTGGGAGATTTGGGAATTGGGAGATTTGGGAATTGGGAGATTTGGGAATTGGGAGATTTGGGAATTGGGAGATTTGGGAATTGGGAGATTTGGGAATTGGGAGATTTGGGAATTGGGAGATTTGGGAATTGGGAGATTTGGGAATTGGGAGATTTGGGAATTGGGAGATTTGGGAATTGGGAGATTTGGGAATTGGGAGATTTGGGAATTGGGAGATTTGGGAATTGGGAGATTTGGGAATTGGGAGATTTGGGAATTGGGAGATTTGGGAATTGGGAGATTTGGGAATTGGGAGATTTGGGAATTGGGAGATTTGGGAATTGGGAGATTTGGGAATTGGGAGATTTGGGAATTGGGAGATTTGGGAATTGGGAGATTTGGGAATTGGGAGATTTGGGAATTGGGAGATTTGGGAATTGGGAGATTTGGGAATTGGGAGATTTGGGAATTGGGAGATTTGGGAATTGGGAGATTTGGGAATTGGGAGATTTGGGAATTGGGAGATTTGGGAATTGGGAGATTTGGGAATTGGGAGATTTGGGAATTGGGAGATTTGGGAATTGGGAGATTTGGGAATTGGGAGATTTGGGAATAATTTGGGAATTTGGGAATTTGGGAATTTGGAAATTTGGGAATTTGGAAATTTGGAAATTGGGAAATTTGGGAATTTGGAAATTTGCGAATTTGGAAATTTGGGAATTTGGAAATTGGGAAATTTGGAAATTGGATTTGAAGATTTGGGGATTTAGGGATTTAGAGATTAAGGGATTTGGAATTTTGGAGATTTGGGGATTGAGGAATTTGGAAATTTGGGAATTTGGTGATTTGGGAATTTGGAGATTTAGGAGTTTGGAAATTTGGGAATTTGGGAATTTGGGAATTTGGAAATTTGGGAATTTGGGAATTTGGAAATTTGGGAATTGGGAGAGTTAGGAATTTGGAAATTTAGAAAACTGGAAATTTGGAAATTGAGAGATTTAGGAATTTTGAAATTTAGAAAATTGGAAAATTGGAAAATTGGAAATTCAGAAGTTGAGAGATTCAGAAAGTAGTTACTTCAGATCCCAATTTGTCACTTTAGAATAGAGCCATCGCGAGTGGAGTCACTGAGGTAAAATACACATTTCAAACCCTCACTACCACGAAATTATAAAAATAAAAAACGGTGAAGAAATATTTCTAAAACAAAAACTAAAATATTCACATAAATCCATCGTAATAAGAATCGTCCCAGAAAAATAAGCTGGCGGTATTTTTCTTCTTTAGAAAATCCACCCTCGACATGATCGACCCTTTATTTCCGATAGGAGTTCGAAGCTGTTATCGTCGATCACGAGTTATCCTCTCGAGTAAATTTCCCCAGTGAATCCGATTTTTCGTCAAATCTAGAACTCTCGAGGAAACGATAAACCCTTGTCTAAGTGTTCTCCCACCGTCTCACTTGGAACTGTACCCCGATGACGACACGATAGTTGTCGGTAATCTATTCACACGTACAGGATAACACGAAATCGATGAAATTCCAGCGAAAGAATATGGCAGATAAGAAAGGAACACTTACCGGCAAGAACCGCGCACTTTGCTAAAATGGTCTTTCCTTTAAGAAACAGCTGTATATAGGTCCCCGATTATTCGTTATATAACGCGAATGCGTTGTATTTTCTTCGAGAATGTATTTGCACGTATCTGTGTGTACCTGACCCCCTCTTCGGCCACGGACAATCGTCCGGGGAGTGTTTGTTCCAGTTGGCCCTTGATAACGGAACGACTCGAGTGCCGATCAAGAATTAAATTCCAATTATCGGCTTTTCGAGCTTTCGAGGTGAGCCACACTCGAAAATGGATTAAGATTTGTAGTACCTTATTTGGTATCTGATTTAGTATATTTTTTAGTCTTTTATTGTTGATGAGACTGGATTTTAGGTATCGGGTGATGTCTGTTTAGGAAGAGAGGTTAAGGAGTGGTACTGAGGGGCCGGACGGAACAGATTGATTGTCAATTGTTTTGAAGTTTGTTTGCAATATTATAGGTTTTATTTTATAGGTTTGGGATTTGAGTGTTTTTGAACAATGTTGCTCGATCAATGTTGATGAATGATCTTTAGGTTTCAAATTTCTGTCTGAGATAATACTGAGGTTTGAACTTTCTATCGGAACAAATCGTTGAATTCCAAATTTCTACTTGAACAAATCAAGTTCCAAGTTACCACATGACTGAATCCACAAATTGCAAATTTCCACTTGACTAAATCCTCAAATATTAAATTTCCACCTGACCAAATCCTTAAATATTAAATTTCCACCTGACCAAATCCTTAAATATTAAATTTCCACATGACCAAATCCTTAAATATTAAATTTCCACCTGACCAAATTCTTAAATATTAAATTTCCACCTGACCAAATCCTTAAATATTAAATTTCCACCTGACCAAATCCTTAAATATTAAATTTCCACCTGACCAAATCCTTAAATATTAAATTTCCACCTGACCAAATCCTTAAATATTAAATTTCCACCTGACCAAATCCTTAAATATTAAATTTCCACCTGACCAAATCCTTAAATATTAAATTTCCACCTGACCAAATCCTTAAATATTAAATTTCCACCCCAAATCCTTAAATATTATTTCCACCTGACCAAATCCTTAAATATTAAATTTCCACCTGACCAAATCCTTAAATATTAAATTTCCACCTGACCAAATCCTTAAATATTAAATTTCCACCTGACCAAATCCTTAAATATTAAATTTCCACCTGACCAAATCCTTAAATATTAAATTTCCACCTGACCAAATCCTTAAATATTAAATTTCCACCTGACCAAATCCTCAAATATGAAATTTCCACCTGACCAAATCCTCAAATATTAAATTCCCACCTGACCAAATCTTCAAATATTAAATTTTCACCTGACCAAATCCCCAAATCTTAAATTTCCACCTGACCAAATCTCCAAATTGCAAATTTCCACCTGACAAAATCCCCAAAATCCACCTTGCCACACCCCAAAATTTGCAACTTCCCACTCACCCAAATTTCTAAACCTCGAAATTCTCAAACACCTAAAATTCCCACAACACGACTCAAACACGTAGCTATCCAACACGTGAATGTCGTATCAACCTACATATCAACATCCGATTCACATCCATCCAGACATTCTAAATTTCTGAACATCTTTTCCCTTATTTCAACAACGTCTGACAGGAGTCCCAAGCTCACACTGATCACTGTCAAATTTATTTATAACATGTGGCACGAGATAATGTTAATTTAAGAGGATACGATACAACATTCATTCGTGAATGTACATATCTTTCGTTTTGCAACGACTTCCAAAGATAAATATTTCTCCGAAGATAAAGTACGATACGTATGTGAAGCTGCGCCATGAGTAATTTATTTTATTGATACTAAGTTGACATGAAGCACTTTATCGTCCGTAAAATTATACAGATGCCAGTTTTTTGTATTTGCTTTAATTTATCAACGGTGACTACTTAATTCTTCTGTTAACAAGACAAGATCTTGCAACCTGTCTAAGAGTTTATTTATTAGGAATTTAATTTAGTTTAAGGTTTAAAGATGTCTATGTTAGGGTGAAAAGATAATTTTACCGATTGTATTTCTTTGCGACGAAATTCCACGCGTTGTATTTCTACGATTTGAAATTCTATGCGTTGACTTGCACGCGTCGCAATTCCACGCGTCGTAATTCCACGCACCGTAATTCCACGCGTCGTAATTTTACGCGCTGAATTTCTTACGCACCGTAATTCTACGCGTCGAAAGGTCCACGCGTTGTGATTCTACGCGTCGAAAGTTCCACGCACCGTAATTCTACGCGTGGTAATTCTACGTGCCGTAATTCCACGCGCCGTAATTCCACGCGTCGAAAGTTCCACGCGCCGTAATTCTACGCGTCAAAAGTTCCACGCACCGTAATTCTACGCGTGGTAATTCTACGCGCCGTAATTCCACGCGCCGTAATTCCACGCGTCGAAAGTTCCACGCGCCGTGATTCTACGCGTCGAAAGTTCCACGCACCGTAATTCCATGCATTGTAATTTTACGCGCCGTAATTCCACGCGTAGTAATTCCACGCGCTGAATTTCTTACGCACTGTAATTCTACGCGTCGTAATTCCACGCGTCGAAAATTCCACGCGTTGTGATTCTACGCGTCCAAAATTCCACGCACCGTAATTCTACGCGTGGTAATTCTACGCGCCGTAATTCCACGCACCGAAATTCCACGCGTCGAAAGTTCCATGCATCGTGACTCTACGCGTCGAAAATTCCACGCACCATAATTCCACGCACTGTAATTCTACGCGTCGTAATTCCACGCGTCGCTCTCCCTCGCGTCGTAATTCCACGCGCTGTAATACTACGCGCCGTAATTCCACGCGCCATAATTCTACGCGTCGTAATTCCACGCGTTGCACTCCTATGCGCCGTATTCCAACGCGCCGCAATTCCACGCATCAAAACTATTAAACGTGTAAAACAAAAATCTTTAATCGTCACTCCAGTTCCCCAATAAAAACATAAATAAGACAATAAATAACCAAAACTATATTCTACCAAAACTGTATTATACCAAAATGGACATACATTAACAATAACAACTGACCGATTTACGACAGCTAAATACAGAAACAACAGCATGTATCGTTATTCAAATTCGTAAAACGTCACCGAACAACTCCACACGAGTGACGTCTAAACACTCAAGATGAAATTGTCTGGAGATAGCAAGTATTCTGATTATCGTCCAAAAATGAGGTGTCTATTCGATCTATTTTTCAATTCGACCCCTGTCATTCAGATCTCCGGCGGACTATTAGTGCGTATTACGATAAGTCGAAGCGTAGAACCCACCAGTCTGAGACAAAGAGTCTGCAATAATCGCGTGCGACGATCGCGGAACAGTGCACGGCACGCAAATTCGCGATTCGATGTCACACAACGTTCAAGTATCTCGACCGATCGATTCGAAAGAGCGACGTTGTCTCAAGGAAAAATGGTCGAGATATTTATATACTCACGATTCATCGACGATGACACGGTCGGGGTTCACTGTCCACAAGCAGGAAATTCTCTGGAGGTGGCAGAACGCATGAGAAAGGCTACATAGGACGGATTAAGCTCCTGCCATCTTCAGATTCTTCAAATAATCGTCAGAAGCAGAAACCAATCCAGAACCCTTTGTTAGGATTCTTATTGGTCCTCGATGAAGGAAGAGTCTTCATGAATTTGAAAGTTGATCTGCAGCCGCAGCGAAATGCACCCATTTATTATGACGCGAGTCATAATTACATGAATATTTTATATGACTCGTACCAGAAGATGATTCTATATCTGCATCTAATGGAAACATTGTGTCTTATCTCGTTTTGATATTTACATTTTCCAAGCAAGTACCCGGGGAATACACTTTTGAAGTGCCGCTGCATTTTCCAGGTAATTAGTAGTCCTTAGTCACCTTTATAAACACGATTCGGAGTTAATTATGCTAAACTATTTACCGAGCCAACATGCAAATACGTAAATTCAGCCGCTTATGCGCGGTCCTCGTTTGAGATTTGCATAAAGATTTACCTTGTTGCAAAACTAGTTCTGCCTCTTAACATAACATACTCCGCACTAGCGGATAAAGTAAACATATTTAGCATGACATTGTCCGTCATAATTCTGCTTTGGCAATGTCAACTTCCTGCTGTTGATTTTTCCGACTATCGATAATTAACATTTTATTAATTAAAGGAAGAAATTGAAAAGAAGCGAAAGTAGATTAGCAAGGTTTATCTTTGAGAGACATCGAATGACAAGATTACACTGATATCGAGAGCGCAGTGTTTGCGATGTACGGTCAATATTTGAACTAGTTACCATTAAAAAGCTTATTTCATTAATTTTTAACGCTACCGAAGTTTGCGGGAAGAAAATTAAAAAACGTGTCTTCCCACGTTCTCGGGAACAATTGAAAATCATATCGGTTTTAACGAGAAAAGTTGCGCGAATTGAGAAAGTTGAAGTAGAAAATTCCGATGGAAGTTTCAGGACAATCTTGATTGCACGACGGGGAGGACGACGGAGTTTATGGTGCATGAGGCATCGTTCAACCTTGCATCAACACTTCAATCGAATAATAACTCGGAATTAATTGATGCACGTATTTCGCTGGGGGCAAGCTTTTTAATATGCAATTATCCATTCGAGCGATTAATCCATCAACTTCCATCATGCTTGACGGACAAACATTTCGTTTGAACCGCGAGGGACTTGAGAGGATTCGTTAGATTGCTGTGTGTTCGACGACACGTTTGATTTACGCGCGATAGATATTTACTCGGTAGATTTCCACAAGCTGGATTTCTGTGCGCTGGATTTCTACGCGATGGATATCTACGCGCTGGATATCTACGCGCTGGATATCTACGCGCTGGATATTTATGCGCTGGATATCTACGCGCTGGATTCTCACGCGTTAGATTTCTACGCGTTGGAGTTCCACGTGTTGGATTTCCACGCGCTGGATATCTACGCGTTAGATTTCCACGCGCTGGATATCCACTCGTTGGATTTCCACGCCTTCAATTTCTACGCGTTGAATTCTCACGCGTTCAATTTCTACGCGTTGGATTCTCACGCGTTAGATTTCCACGCGTGCAATTACTACGCGTTGAATTCTCAAGCGCTAGATTTCCACGCGTTGGATTTTCACCCACTGGATATCTACGCGTTGGAATTCCACGCGCTGGATATCTACGCGTTGGAGTTCCATGCGCTGGATATATACGCGTTAGATTTCCACGCGCTGGATATCTACACGTTGGAGTTCCACGCGCTGGATATCTACGCGTTGGAGTTCGACGCGCTGGATATCCACTCGTTAGATTTCCACGCGTTCAATTACAACGCGTTGGATTCTCACGCGTTAGATTTACATACGCTGGATATTTACGCGTCAGATCTCCCCGCGATAGATTTCTACGCGTTAAATCTCCACGTCCCATATCTCCACGCGTCGTATTTCTACGCTTCGTATCCCTACGCACTGTAACTCCACGCACCATATTCCTACGGGTTGATTCCCCACGCGTTATATCTCCACGCTGCATATTTCGTCGCCTTGTATTTCTACGCTCTGAATCTCTATGCATTGAATCTTCACATGTTCGCTCTCCATACATTGTTCCTCCGCATGTCCAGTCATCACTCATGACATCCCTACCCACTACCCTCGCATGACATCCACATATAATCAATCTCCACTCGTTATACAGCTAAACCTTACTATTCCAATTCTCTGAACTCTACATCCTCCTACATTATACCTTACTAAGTCTCATCTAAGGTAAACAGGACATAGACCATCAATGATTCACTTCACGAAGTAGATAGGCAAACCATAAACGAAAAGGAGTCAAAATAAAAATGGCCAGGTCCTGTCGTTCACGGCCACGGATCGTTTGTCGAACAATCGCTCGTACGAGCGGGGTCACGCAATTGAATGTGATCTGAATGAGAAAATCGTTGTTCAATTGAACGCGATCGGCCCTGTTATCTCGTTTCGTTGGCCCGTAACAATGTAATCGTGGCTTTTGTGTCCGCGCGGTTGATCCGCGCCAGACGATCAAATTGTTATTAGCGATCAATCCAGACGATGATTTATCGAGAGGAATGTTTTCGTTTTTCTCGTTTTTACGGCAGAAGGGAAGACTCATCGTTGGAGGAACTTAGCGCCACCGTGCATCATCTTGGACGCGTGTTCATTCCGCGCGTGTGGAAACTGTCACGTTGCATGGAAAGTTTCGCTTCGTGCGCGGCTATCTTTGACCGATAGACTAGTATTTGTTCGGAATTGGGCTAACGGACGAGAATTCCGTGACGAAGGCACGATGACGAAGGTGCTCGGGGATTTTTTGGACAAACCGAGGACGTCAACCTCGAGTGAAAGTGCGTTTACGAATGTGTATCGTGTGAGTCATTCGGGGTTTTCTGTGGGTCTATGGCCCTCATAGAAGTGCTATTACACTTGCTAGGCAGGTTTCGTAAATACATTCCGAAATTATTCGGGGATTCCTCGGTGAATTTTTTTTTCCTCGAACCTGGTTACCTTCGTATCACTCGTGACGTTCGATGTTTCTGTTGAAGGAGAGTATGGCCTCGATTTGTACAAACAGCGGCTATTAGAACAGTAATCGAGCGTGTCGTCATCTGAACAAATATTTTGGATTTTTATGCCATTTAAATGGGGACATCCCATTTAAAGTTTGTCGATGAAAGTATTTACAGTGTTCTGTACTTTTCCAAAATACCCAGTGAAACAACAATCAATTCGAGAAATTACAAACGTACTTGCCAGCAAACGATATAAAACAATACCGTAGGTAAACATTGCGTCTTAAAAATGATTTCTAATCAACAGATAAATCTTAGCCACGCTTCAAGCAGTCGTGCAACTTTAATCTCAAAAATCGCTAATCGTTTATCGTACACTCGGCATTCCTGTCGATTGCATAAGCAAAACTTTTACATCACAGGTGCAGGATGCACGTGGATAATGCACATAAATTATCCCATCGAACGGAAACTTTCCTCACTCGGATTCAACTTTCGCCTAAGTTAATTACGCTTTCTTGGATTAAAGGTAGTAATTATCAATTCGTTCATTACTGTCGTTACGGAGGCGGACAGTAATGCAATGTTATATTGCCGTGCGAGGATTATGGAGGACAGTTTATGAAATTAGGAAAATTTGATATAAATTGTGAAGATATATAGTAATTTTATTCATAAAATAATTCTTGGCAATACAACGTGTGATTTAATACTTAGAATATTTCAATGCATACTACACGTGACGATACACGTAGAATAATTTACAGAGTAAGGTATGAAGAGTAATTTAGAACATAGAGCAATTAATCACATAATGATTCTATAAATATTGATACATAAAATAAGTCAATTTGTAAATTTAATATAGGACAGTCTAACTCGTAATAATTCAATGTGTAATTATCACATAGCGTAATTTATAACGTAAAGTAATACGCAGCCATCGCAAAGTCGAACGTGAAGTAATATGGCGAGTAGCAATGCAGCGTGTAAAAATCAAACGCGTGGGAATCTAACGTGTAGATATCCAGCGCGTGGAAATCTAACGCGTGAGAATTCAACGCGTAGATATCCAGCGCGTGGAAATCCAGTGCGTAGATATTTAACGCGTGAGAATCCAGCGTGTAGAAATTCAACGCGTAGATATCCAGTGCATGGAAATCCAACGCGTAGATATTCAGTGCATGGAAATCCAACGCGTGGAAATCTTGCGCTAGGGAATCCAACGCGTGGAAATCCAACGGGTAGATATCCAGCGCGTGGAAATCTAACGCGTAGATATCCAACGCGTGGAAATCCAATGAGTGGATATCTAACGCGTGGAAATCTAACGCGTAGATATCCAGTGCATGGAAATCCAACGCGTGGAAATCTTGCGCTTGAGAATCCAACGCGTGGAAATCCAATGAGTAGATATCCAACGCGTGGTTATCTAACGCGTAGATATCCAACGCGTGGAAATCCAACGAGTGGGTATCCAGCGCGTGGAAATCTAACGCGTAGGTATCCAGCGCGTGGAAATCTAACGCGTAGGTATCCAGCGCATGGAAATCCAGTGGGCAGATATTTAACGTGTGGGAATCCAACGCGTAGATATTCAGCGTGTAGATATCTAACACGTGGAAATCCAGCGCGTAGCAATCCAACATGTAAAATTCAAACGAGCAGTAATCCAACGCGTCCCAATGCAGCACATAAAAATCAGACCCGCAATAATTCAACGCTATACGAAGTATCGATAGCCCCGCATGAAATCTATAAAACATCTCGATAGTGTATCATAGTAGCTCTAACCGATAAGACCGCTATTTGCTTTTAGTAGCCGCAAACTCATGTTTTCCTCGGAAAATTTCAACAGTCGACTCAGAAAAATCACGATCAGTGAATTTCATCGTGTTATCGAAGTAAGTGTGTCGATTGGCGACGATTGTCGAGTACCTGACGTCACAATCATACTTTCTCGACTACCTGGAACAGCCTTGATCCTAAGAGGGAGGAAAAGATAGAGACTCGATTCGCTGGAAATGCGTTGCATCACGAGGTATATCTTCGAATTTCTTGGTTCTTCCTCTCTGACGCCAATTGCGATTTAATTGTCACGGTCATTATGCAATTGAGCCTGGCGTGGAAACGCGCGGACGTAGGTGATTTCGTTTATTTACTCTTGTTGCATTCCAACGTGTCTCGTCGTCCTCGAACCGGCTAGATTGCTTTCAATTATTTTTGTATGTCAATGCAGGAAAATCCGGGGAGAAATTAACGAAGTAGGATAAGTATAAATATTATGTGGGTTGCCTTGCTTTGTAGGAAAACCGGTGAAGCGTTTACATTTATGACTATTTTGCATACTGGGAATAATTGATATGTGCTTTCTTTGGTTCTGGACTGGCATCTGTTGGGTCAGACATGACCCAGATATGTGAAATGTAGTACAATAATGTAAGCTACCCAACTGGTAACTTAAACTAATCGTAGTAAGGTTTCTAGCACTTCCAGTCTACCTATAGTTAATTACACCTTCATTTTCCTTAAATGTACAACTCATAAGAATTACACCTTTTTGATTACACGTGCTCTCACGCATCTAACAAAGTAGTTACAATTTAACAAAGTAGTTACTCCGATAAAATAAACAATAGGTCCACATAAAAGTCCGTAGATATCATTCCGATGACTCGACACACATGTCATACACCTCTCCAAGACATTCAAGGCAATTATACAATGCTGAAAATAAAGGTGACGAGTTTATTACAAACTTGTACAATTACAAACTGTTAAATTTATTATAAAATTGTCAATATCTAATTTAATGTCAAAAGTTTCACAAATGTCAGACGCAAAGGAAAGCTACAGTTTAATATTTAGTTTCTAATTAAAGATTTAGGGGGTCGCCGTGACCCCTGCAAGAAAGATAAACTGTGTCATCGTTAGCTCCGTTGTTGGAAAAAGAGAAATAAAGAAATATAGAAGTTACGATGTATCTATCGCTCGATAGCCTCAATCGTTATCTTGGTTCTCCGGTGGGCCACTCGTCTCTCGGTCGCCATTTCCGACGACCAGGAAAATAAGAAAAAAGGTAGATACCGAGCGTTACTAAAGTAGCGATACCGATGCCTAATTTCACGCGTAGGAATTTCGGGCGTCATACTTCCGCGCGCTGTATTTCCACGCGCCATAATTCTGTACTTCCACGCACCGTAATTGCACGCGTAGTAATTCCACGCGTCGTACTTCCATGCGCCATTACTCTACGCGCCGTAATTCCACGCGCCATAATTCTACGCGCCGTAATTCCACGCGTAGTAATTCCACGCGTAGTAATTCCACGCGCCGTACTTCCATGCACCGTAATTCCACGCGTAGTAATTCCACGCGCCATAATTCTACGCACCGTAATTCCACGCGTAGTAATTCCACGCGCCATTATTTACTCTACGCGCCGTAATTCCACGCGCCATAATTCTACGCGCCGTACTTCCACGCACCGTAATTGCACGCGTAGTAATTCCACGCGTCGTACTTCCATGCGCCATTACCTCTATGCGCCGTAATTCCACGCGTAGTAATCCCCCGCGCCATTACTCTACGCGCTGTGCTTCCACGCACCGTAATTCCACGCGTAGTAATTCCACGCGTCGTACTTCCACGCGCCATTACTCTACGCGTCGTACTTCCACGCGCCATTACTCTACGCACCGTAATTCCATACGTCGTACTTCCACGTGTAGTACTTCCACGCCCCATTACTCTACGCGCCATAATTCCACGCGCCATTATTTCCCTTCACAACAAAAGATTTCCAGTGCATCAGCAAACATTTAGCGGCTAAAAGTCCGCCATTGCACCGAGAATCTTTCCGTCCTGAAGAGCAGGCATCGAGATATCGTTCCACTTACGATAGCCGGCGATATCGTTCGACGCGATAGAAATTGCAGTTACGAAATTACATTGGTAAAATCAGGGAGCCAAGGTCCTCCGATTAACTAGGGTCATCGTAATTGATTTGTTAGCTATTTTGAAACGTCGTTGCAAAAAACTGATTCATTAAAACTTTGATAATTACACACTGATGACCGATGGGCAATTAAATTAATTAGATATGAAGGATGCGAAGTTTTCAATGAATTTTATGAACGATACAAGTTCATTTCGATAAGCTTTTTCTTGGAGAAACGGTGGTTAAGGGACAGGTTTGACCGGTCGAGTAGTACCTCGCAGTACATTGTAAATCTGCTGATAGGTTTTCCCCTTAGTTTCTGGAATGAGGAAGTGAGTGAACGCTGTCGCGCCAGCCATGATGGCTGCGAAGATCCAAAATGTCATGTCGGTGCCTAACTCGTCGTTCATCGCTGGGAAGGTTTTGGTGACCAGGAACACCATGAACCAGTTCAACATGACGGCAACGCTGGATGCGACTGCTTTGGTTTCCGACGGAAATAGTTCGCCCATCAGCATCCAGGGTACTGGTCCCAATCTGGAACGGAAAGGGTGAACTGTTAATTAGACGAACAATTTGTAGCATTTTTTGATGAGCAGTTAAAACTTCTATGGGTAGCAACTATATTTGATATTGAGAAGTTTAGTAATACCTGCTGTGAATGTAAGATTTAATGTTTATGGATTTAGAATTTTACATGTGCTTGAATTCATATGTTTATTATGAGGACAAATTCCTCATATTACTAAAATATGAATACTTATATTACTAAAATTTGTAAGGTGTTAGATTTCAAAATGATTGAATCACCATATTCTCAAAACGTATCTTAATGTGTTCACATATCGTCAAAACCATATGGACCTGTATGCACATGTCCTCAAATCCATATAGACCTGTGTCCACATATGTATAGCCACATCCACATATCCTCAAGATTATATGTACCCATATCCACATATTCTCAAATCCATATATGTATACCCACGTCCACATATGCTCAAGTCTATGTGTACCCATATTCACATGTCCTCAAATCCACATATGTATACTCACATATGTATGCTCATGTATTCTCAAATTTATATATGTGTACCCATATCCACATATCCTCAAATCCACATATGTATACCCACATATGTATGCCCACATATTCTCAAATCTATATATGTATACCCATATCCACATAACCTCAAAACATATACATATGTATACCCACATATTCTCAAATCTATATATGTATACCCATATCCACATATGTATACCTATATCCACATATCCCCAAATGTATACCCTTCCACATATGTATACCCACATATGTATGCCCACATATTCTCAAATCTATATATGTATACCCATATCCACATGTCCTCAAATCCACATATGTATACCCACATATGTATGCCCACATATTCTCAAATCTATATATGTATACCCATATCCACATGTCCTCAAATCCACATATGTATACCCACATATGTATGCCCACATATTCTCAAATCTATATATGTATACCCATATCCACATGTCCTCAAATCCACATATGTATACCCACATATGTATGCCCACATATTCTCAAATCTATATATGTATACCCATATCCACATATGTATACCTATATCCACACTAAAATCCACACATACCCATATCCACATATCCTAAAATCCACACATACCTATATCCACATATCCTCAAATGCATATGTAGCTACATGCGAATATCCTCAAATCCCTATTATATCTACGTATCTCAAAATTCACACGTACAAAACTTAAACATCTTCCCAAGAACTGAAACTTCCACAATCCAAGTTGCGAAATCTGTAAGATTTCTCAGCTCGTTTCAGTCGCTATTTTCCCCAGAGAAATCGTCGGCGTTTGTGCGCTTACCCGATAGAAAAGGCGATCATGAAGACGATCAAGGAAGTCAGTGGCAGCCAACCGAGCGTACTGACGTCACTTCCGCTATCTTTCTTCTGGAAGTAATATCCAAGCGCGACGAGACTGGCTGACATAACACCGGTGGAAATCATGAGTAGCGGTTTCCTTCCAGCTCGATCCACAATCAACGCCGCAACACCTGACATCACCAACTGTAACGAACAGTGTTCAGCGTTAACGTGGCATGATCTATGCTTTGTAAAATATTTACTATTTCGTACTTGTGCTGTAATATTTCTTGAGCTATTTACAATATTATGATCAGAGAAAAATAATCTTTAACCCTTCATTTTAACTCTTTCCTTTTTTAATCTTCAGTTAAAACCTTCAGAAAGTTTTGTCTATTGAACATTAAAAATAATTGTATATTGTGCTTTGTCCAACGCTAAAAAATATTATTTGTTGCCTACTGAAATTGCATTAAGTTTCAATCGTTATTACATAGAAGAATCTCGAGAAGTAGGAAACAAACCTGAACGAAAGCCACCACGATAGACGCAACTTCGGGCGCCATCGAGCTTCCGGACGCTTCGAAAATCATCACCGTATAAAAGATCACAGCGTTCACGCCGGATGCTTGTTGAAAGAACATCATGCCAAAGGATGCCAGCATGGCTTTTCTAGAGACCGGAGACCTTAGCATGTCGAAGATGGAAGGTTTTTTACCGGCACTTTGTTCCGCCTCCTTCTGCATCTCGTTAAGCTCCTCTTTGGGGTCGTAAGCTTCACCTCTGAGCACCTTAAGCGCCGCCGTGGCATCTTGCTTTTGTTTTTGACCCTGGAACAGGAATGTCAAAGCTTTTATTGCAAGTTTCTTGCAGTCGGCGATATAACATGATACAACAGAAATGCTTTCTTGGTTGTTTAACATTTTGCGATATAATGATATAGCTCTTTACTGTTTGATATAACGATATAACGCTTTGTATGTTCTCAAAGATATAGTTCTTGTCTATTATACAGGTTCTTGACTATTCAATACTTTGCGACACAACGTGTGAATATCTAACGCTTAAAGATACAATATGTGGGAATTTGACGTGTAGATATACAGCATTTGAGAATTTAATGCGTGGGTATCTAACGCGAGGGAATTCCACGCGTGGGATCCTAAGGCACAGGAATTTAACGCGTGAGAGTTTAATGCGTGAAAATCTAGTATGTGAGAATTTAACGCGTGGGATTCCAATGCGTAGGAATTTAACGCGTAGTAATCCCACACGTGGAAATTTAACGCGTGGAAATCTAATACGTGAAAATTCAACGCGTGCGATTCTAATTCGTAGGAATTTAACGTGTGGGATTCTAATGCGTAGGAATTTAACGCGTGGGATTCTAACGCGTAGGAATTTAACGAGTGGTAATTCCACGCGTGGAAATCTAACGCGTAGGAATTTAATGCGTGGGATTCCAACGCATAGGAATTTAACGCGTGGAAATCTAACGCGTAGGAATTTAACGCGTGGGATTCTAACGCGTAGGAATTTAACGCGTGGTAATTCCACGCGTGGAAATCTAACGCGTAGGAATTTAATGCGTGGGATTCCAACGCATAGGAATTTAACGCGTGGAAATCTAACGCGTAGGAATTTAACGCGTGGGATTCTAACGCGTAGTAATTTAACGCGTGGTAATCCCACGCGTGAAAATTTAATGCGTGGGATTCCAACGCATAGGAATTTAACGCGTGGAAATCTAACGCATAGGAATGTAACGCGTGGGATTCTAACGCGTAGTAATTTAACGCGTGGTAATCCCACGCGTGAAAATTTAATGCGTAGTAATCTCACACGTCGAAATTTAACGCGTGGAAATCTAACGCGTAGGAATCTAATGCGTGAAAATCTAATACGTGAGAATGTAACGCGTGGGACTCTAACGCGTAGGAATTTAACGCGTGGGATTCTAACGCGTAGGATTCTAACGCGTGGTAATCCTACACGTGAAAATTTAATGCGTGGTAATCCCACACGTGAAAATTTAACGCGTGGAAATCTAACGCAAAAGAATTCAACGCGTAAAAATCCAGTACGTGAGAATTGACCGCAAAGGACTCTAACGCGCAGGAATTTAGCGCGCAGCGATCTAACGATCATCAAATCCATAAAACCTTAATACTAACCACCAACCAAACGGGAGATTCAGGCATCCAGTAGAAAGTACCAAGAAACAGTCCGATAATAGCAGCGCAGACAACGGCGAAAGCAGTATAGTTCAAAACGCTTCCTAGAATGAAAGCAGCGAAGATTCCCACGGTGAGAAACAGTTGAAACAGTGCACCGAGGGTTCCTCTGGTCGAGACTTCGGAAATTTCTGAAATATAAGTTGGTCCAACGACGCAACCGGCTCCGACACCGATTCCGACCAGAAATCTAGCGGCGTAGAGGAGCCAGACTTCGGAGGTCAGAATGATAATTCCCCAGGAGGCCAGAAATGGCGCGGATAACATGAGGAGGGTCTTTTTTCGGCCGTGTTTGTCTGCTAGGTTTCCAGACGGAAATGCACCGGCAATGGCACCCAGGGCGAGGAGGGAACCCACCCAGGAACCCTCCTCCTTTGTTAGCACCATGAACGAGTCTGGGAGGTAGAGCTTTGGAAGCACAGGTGAGGTCCATGCTAGGGCGGTTCCGACCCCGACTACTAGTAGACATGCTGTAATGTTAGAACTGAATTAGTGAGAGAGAAAATTTTGGGGGAAAATGGGTTGTGGTGATGCATGATGTTGATGTAGATGTTGATGTGGATGTTGATGTGGATGTTGATGTGGATGTTGATGTGGATGTTGATGTGAATGCTGATGTAGATGTTGATGATGGATATGGATGTTGATGTGCATGTTGATGTGGATGTTGATGTGGATGTTGATGTGAATGCTGATGTAGATGTTGATGATGGATGCAGATATTGATGTGGATGTTGATGTGGATGTTGATGATGGATGTGGATGTTGGAGATGAGATATGAGTTATGGAAAGATTATTTAAAATGGGTATAAATTTTTTGATCATCCTAATTATTTAACTTTTTTGTAATTTTAGTTGTGTGACCTAGTAATGTAATTCTAGTTGTTTGACCTAGTAATATAATTTTAGTTACTGATGTAGATGTTGATGATGGATGTTGATGTGGACGTTGATGTGGATGTTGATGTGGATGTTGATGTGGACGTTGATGTGCATGTTAATGTGGATGATGATGTGGATGTTGATGATGGATGCAGATGTTGATGATGGATGTGGATGTTGAAGATGAGATATGAGTTATGGAAAGATTATTTAAAATGTGTATGAATTTTTTGATCATCCTAATTATTTAACTTTTTTGTAATTTTAGTTGTTTGACCTAGTAATGTAATTCTAGTTGTTTGACCCAGTAATATAATTCTACTTGCTTGACCTAATAATATAATTTTAGTTACTGTCAGTATTTAATGTATTTAACATCAACCAGTTAGCTGTTTCTAAACAACATACTCGTCATGAAAAACATCTGAAGCAGCAGATAAAATAATTTAAGTGCCAAGGTGTCTACTTAAGAAAAGCAAAGTATAAAAAGTTAATTAACTTGATTAATTTTGACACTTGAACGTAGATAAAATTCGAGATTCACTTTCGTGGAAGAACTTCATTCATTGCATCAAAAATTCTCGCGAAAGTGGTCATAGCTTGCGTAATCGTTCAGTTATCTAGAGATATGTTCACGCGTTGCTTCCATTACACTTCAATTCAATTATTAACTTGCGCCATACCGGTCTATGATGTATGTACACCTCGAGATAACACATGAGGACCGTCTACGTAAAAATTGGTGATCGTATCTTCAATGGAAAGAGATAATCCTACACGTGTACTGTGTTACGTATGAAAGTGTACTGTTACTTAATCTCTCGCGATTAATGAACAGAAAAGACACTGATTTAAAAAATTTTCGAGGAATTTTTGAATGTGTAGGTGAACGCGTTATTTCATACAGTATGTTACGCTAGCAACTAAATTTATGAGTTTCCATTCTTTTGCTGTTGAATTATTTATTAAAATTGAGCGTCGGATGATACGAGGTTTAACTATTTAACACTTGATCAAGAAGGAAGAGTGTACATGCGAGCGTACAAAAATTGCAATATGAGTCTCCTTTCCAATGTAAATAGACGGCAAATGTTATCAATCTGACTTGATAATTCTTTCCATTTTAACTACAAAAGCTACTATCAAACTTGAGCCTAAATTCGAGGCTCATCAAAGATTTTATCGATAAAAACCATTTCGTCTCGCGATTATCTGATCGATAATCGCCCGCGTTAATTCCACGAATTAAAAAGGTACTTGAACAAATACCTTAATAGCCGATAAGTGACAATTATTTGATCGAAAGAATTAAAACAGATAGAGAAATATATTCTTTCTAAATACCGGATATCGAAGCTAGATACTGCCACAGCTTCCGGCTTTTCTGAGGAACTGGTGTTTCGTCAATCATCCCCGTGGCCTCCATTTCCTCGTTAATGGTTGTTCGCGCAAATCACGAGTTTACAGTTCGTTATCGCTAAGTGTCCTGGTCAAATCGAGACGTTCCACCGAATCGATGATGACATCGAGGATCGATGAATCTCTTCGGGAAATGAGTCGATCACCACGGTTAGTCGAACACCTTCAAATCAACCGAGGACGTTCAGTAGGTAACTCACATATTTCGGATTCAGCAAAGACGATCGAAGGAAACCGAATGAACGTTTCCGTTCCGGGGTCCATCATATATCGATTGCCACTATCTGTTCATCATTATCAGCCTATTATCGCTTAGGGGCAGAAGGAAAAATGATTTAGAAATCACGATTAACAGGTATTGGTCGATAAAGACAAGGAAACGGTGAGGTGGCTTACATCATCTTGGGCTGGTTGAAATTCGGCGAAGATGGGCAGTAGTGGTTCTTAGTTCTTTCTGGCTGGAAATTCAAGTTATGTGGAAATTTGTCGCGTGGAAATTTGGCATGTGGTACTTCAAGGCGTAGAAATTTGACGCGTGGTAATTTGATGCGTGGTAGTCCCACGCGTAGTAATTCCACGCGTAGTAATTCCATGCATAGTAATTCCATGCGTAGTAATTCCACGCGTGGTACTTCCACGCGTAGTAATTCCACGCGTAGTAATTCCACGCATAGTAATTCCACGCGTAGTAATTCCACGCGTGGTAATTCCATGCATAGTAATTCCACGCGTAGTAATTCCACGCGTGGTACTTCCACGCGTGGTACTTCCACGCACCGTAATTCCATGCGTAGTAATTCCACGCGTGGTGCTTCCACGCACCGAAATTCCACGCGTAGTAATTCCACGCGTAGTAATTCCACGCGCGGTAATTCCATGCATAGTAATTCCACGCGTAGTAATTCCACGCGTGGTGCTTCCACGCACCGAAATTCCATGCATAGTAATTCCACGCGTAGTAATTCCATGCATAGTAATTCCACGCGTAGTAATTCCA